GTTCTACCCCTAACATATAATTCAATTGATTAAAGAGAAAAAGTAATCCTTGAATAGTACTAATGGTCTCTTCCGAGTTATCAATGGCTTCTCCAATCACAATCAAGTCTACTTCCAAGGAATCATGAAAATTAAAGACTTTGAGCACAATACTCTAACTTCCTAATCATCCATTCAACTACTCCCGTGATGAACTTCAAACCCTTAATTGATTTATTCAAACCCGTCAAAATCCAACTTCCGTTGCGATTAAAACAATGGATTAATAACAATACCAATTATCCCTAATCTAGTATTGGCATGAGCACAATCAATTAAGCATATCAATTACAATTATTATTAGAGAATTTAAAGAATTAAATCATGCATAAATCATATTCGGGTCTCGCTAGATCTTGGAATAAGGAAACTACTCACACATATTAATGAAAACAATAACAAAAATTAAAGAAAACATAATTATTAATAATAAAAGGAATTAAAGAGAATAAGAAAATACTAAATCTTGAATTATGAGAGATAAATGAAGAAACTTGAGTGCATAATCTTGAATTACAATGGAAATAAAGTCTAGATAAAAAACTAGGGTTCTAAGATGATAGATAATGAAAATATAATGCTAAAGAGTATTTATAAGAAGGATAAAAGATAGGATTAATTAAGGAAAGAAATCAGATTAAAACCGACTAAATTCGTCCAGGCATGGGCATGTCAAATTTTGACATGGGCGTACCTCGCTGGAATGGCACACACAGCAGCTGCGACACTCGTAAAGACACGGGCATGTCTCATATTGGCATGGGCATCGCTGGGTCAAATTCACTCGATGAGGCATGGGCATGCCCACATTCAACACGACCATGCTTCCCTTAGCACATAGCAGCTAGCTCGAAACGCTCAACTTGACATGGGCGTGCCTTAGATGAACATGGGCGTGCCTTGGATGAAACTTCAACTTCCAACTCTCTGCCTTCTCAAAACACACTGACATGCCCATGTCTCTGAGCGATATGGGCGTGTCTGGCTGGAGATTACCCTCAAATGAGTTCGACTTCAAACTTTGGCTTTCTAGGTGAATTGCAAGCTATGATCACGATCCGCAACTTCGTAAAACCTCCAAAAATCTTCTTTAAATCCTGAAATACATCAAAAACAACGAATCTACCCATAAAAGCATCGTATGATCACAACTAAACCAAATCTAGCTTAATATACGACTTATCAATCTCACATATCTTACTTTTCAATATAACATTAACCTCATTATATTTTCTTAATAATCAAACTACCCTAGTTACATTTTTTATTTATATTAAAGTCTATTAATTCATCTAAAATTATTTGTTTGTCAAACGTAAAACTTTCAAAAAAAAAAAAAAAGTGAGTAATCACATTATCTTACATAGTTACATATCTTCATAATTACGTGCATAAGCCTAAGTCAAATGAACAATTTAGACAACGTTTTCCCTATACTTCTCTGGTTTTGTTTAAAATGTTTCATTTTGATTTATACAACTTTAATCTATGATTTTTTTTTTTTAATTCTGCGATTGTAAAAAATAGAATTTAATTTGAAACAAAATATATGTGAAGACATATTTAATGAGACACATCTATCTATCTATATTATTATACTAAAAAACAAGCGCCTCAATGTGAGGATGACAAATGTCACTCTCTCATTGACTTATCTTAAGTATTAAATATATCTATACAATTATTGTTTACATATTTAAGCATAGTTATTTTTGTTAAACTTCAAACAATATAAGCAAGTTTCTATACATGCATAAGATTTTCATGATTTCCTAACTTAAATATTGATTTAATTTTTTTTATAATAAATATATGCTTTCCAATACTACAAATTATCCATAAAGTCTTTCCAATCTTTATTTATAGTCAAGTTAAAGAATAATAATTAATTTGAAGCAATATGATTAAAGTGGCATAATTAAGGAAACAAATATTTCGTATTTTGAAAGGGTAATATTTTTTTTTATGAAAATTAAATAAAATCGATAGAATTTAGTTTGACGTCAATTATGAAATCAATGCAAACATTTTTAAAAAATCAGATGTACAATAAAATATTGTGTACCTATTATAAAAGCTACCTTGTAAAGAATGAAAGTTATTTATGCTTTATTGATAAAAAGTTACCCAAAATAGTCTACAAGTTATCCTAAATTCAATTCAAGTAATCGGATGAATACAAAAGTTTTTGATAAAGATACAAATAGTGTAAAAATTACTTTTATCGTTTGTTGTACTCCTTGACAAATACTGAATACTGAGCCAAAATGTTGTCTTGGAAAAAAATGCATAATCTTGAAGATAAATTTAATTTTAATCGGCCTTTCATTTTTTATACAATGTCTTTTACATTGACCTGTTGTTTTTCTTGCACATAAAAAAAAAATAAAAAAAAATAAAAAAAAAAAACCCAATAACCAATCAAAACAAGAAGAATAAAAGTTAAATTGAATTAGACATTTGATGAAAAAGGGCTAGATATAAAATGTATTATAACTATTACTCGTGTTTTAAATTGTAATATTCGTATTAACAATGCTATTACTTATGATTTTTTTTTAGAAAAACTAACATTTTGATTTAAAAATTGTGCATTGCTCATGTACTATACTACATATACAACAATCATGTGCAATAATTTATGTTGTTTTATACATAATAATACTTTTAACTATAATAGTATGTATACATAATATAATATTTTTTATAATATAAAAGAGTATATGTATATAATATAATATTTTATAACACGTGTCCTCCATACGAAGTGTTTGGTTGTTGGTGTAGTGGTGATTGAGAATACCCTTGGTAGGGAGGACCTGTGTTCGCTCCCCTGCAACAACAATCGGAAGGGGAGTGGAACTTAATAGCCTAGAACAGATCCTCAAATCTGGATTAGCCCAAAGGGTGAACCGGATAGAACACCCAAAACTCAATGCATATATGACGGGAATTAACTTATCCTTTATCTATCTTATACAAAACTCCAAAGTCTAATTTTTTTTCAAAATATAATAATAACATTTGTAAATTTTTGTTGATAAGAAAGATATAAACCTATCAAAATGTATATATAGTTAAATTGTTTAATAACTTATATCGAATGCGTAGTTTTGTTGAAATTATTTGCATGTAATCATTAAATGTGTTGGATGTTGTGTAGCTATGCAATGTCCAAAACTTTAGTTGAGCGACTTTGATTTAGTGATTGTACAGTAAAAAGATATTGACTTCGATCTTGAAACCTAATAGTCTAATAAATTCTAAATAGAAAAATTAAAACAAAAGGAAATGAAAATAGTAAATGGCTTTAAATATTGAAATAAACATAACCTTTTAAATCAATTTAGCGAATTCATGAGACAATTTTAAGGCTTAAAAAATTAAATGGTGGAAAATATATGTAAAAAGAACATTTTTAGATATATAAATGTCCACGCACTATTATAAGAGTTTGTTAACCATTTATAATTAAGGTAGGAATAAATTTTAGTAATATATACTCCGTATATTTTATTTATATAAAATTATCAGTATCCATACCTATATACGAAGTATTTGTGTTGTATACTATATTTAATCAGCTGTTGGTTATATATATGACTATTATATAATATATAGTTTTTGGCACAATGCTTAACTTAGTAAAATATATGTTCTGGTAGGTCAAATATAAGATTATTATTGTGTCTATAGATTTAATGAGGATCTGTTCGGGTAAATAAAACATGTATATATTAGATTAATTGTAGATACTGATGTGGATGGTATGATAAGAAAATTTTAGTTTTTTCTCAACGGGAGATATAAATAAATTAGTCCACTTCTTATATAGCTATGTGGAGTATTATTCAATTATTTTCAATTAATAAAATAACATCATAAAAACTTAAAAGAAATTCAAATAACATGAAATACTGTTCAAATTACGTTCCTTTAATTTTTTTTATTGATCATTAGTAACCAAGTCCTTTAATATAAATGAATTACCTTTGTTTTTATTTTTATTTTTCCTACAGGTTTAATAATTTGATTTATAAACCGTGCATCGCACGGGCACTATGCTAGTTATAACTATATCATTATACAAATACAAATTACATATATACTTAGCATATGATGTATGGTCAATATGAAGGAAATTTTTATTTGATTCAAATTATGTATTTGTTAAATTCGATTATTGTTGTAGCTGTCGTATGATTTTTTATTAATGGATCGATTTATTATTAATAAAAAAAAAAAAAAAAAAAGAGAGAGAGAGAGAGAAAGCTAATAAGTGATTGGCATAATCTTATCCTATATTTATTTTGTGTGAGGGCTTTGTTTTCATTATACCTTCAGACTCGTAACTAGTACAAATACTAGGTTAGTTCCCGTGCCATGCACGGTAATTTTCTACTTCGTATATATATATATATATATATATATATATATATATATATATATATATATCTATTATGAAGTATTAAACTATCATTATAATTAGTTTTTTATTAACGAAAAAAATCTAAAAACATAATTGACAAATTGTGATCAAAATAAAGGATTATACGAAAGATATGCTAGATATAAAATGATGTAAATAATTTTATTATTATGTTAAGACTTTTTATTTATAGCTATATAAATATTTGTGTCAATGATATGTCAAATCTTTTTTATTTTAAGTAATTATATTTTATAAAATTAGGGAATTATTTTGTATAAGATTTGTTTGTTTTTGTTTGTTTAATATACTCTGTAAATTTTTATTTTTTTAAAAGAAAAAAAAAACTAAAGACACACCAGGAGATGACACGTATCATTGCTGATGTGTCTTTGAGTATATAGTATTGATTGATTGATAATTATTCTTTTCTTATGTTGTACAATGTTGAAAGGAATATACTTTGCATCATCTATCTAACCTTCCATAAAACCAATGCACAAGTGAAGGAATAATTAAAGCTCAAGGGAAGATTCATCATAAAGAATAAACAAGATTATTCAAATAAATTCTAAAATGGGAGCTTGTATATAATTGAGCAATTAATTTTCTGTTCATCAATATCACACATTACTAAACAAACCAATCAAATCAAACCTTTGTTTCCTCTTTGAAGAACATAATCCGTACCTTTAATTGTGACTTCAATTTTTTAAACTCATTATATCAAAAGTAATCACCTTTTCTTTTTAAAGTGAAGGATAGCTCTAGTGGTAAGAGCTTTTTTCGATTCCAGGAGATCCTAGGATCGATTCTCATTACCCTCACACCAAAACCTTTTTTTTTTTTTTTTTAGTTTACCTAATTACCAATAGGAACAAGCATACCCAATAATATTGTTTCTTAATCAAGAAATGACTACCTACAACTTAGAAGAAACTCCAGATGTTTTCATTACCCCACGATTTTACAACAACAAATTCGAGTATAGAATGGAGCACATCAATGGAGAGGGTGATCGAAAGGTAATCCGTTCTATAGACCTTAGGAATGAAAAGTTGATGGTATATGGAACGGAGATAAAAGAGTCTTTGTTGAGTAGGTTATATGATTCTCTAATTCTAAGGCCTAAGGCTGGAATTATATATGTTAATTGTGAAGGAGCTTGTTATTTTCTTATATCAGGAAGTGCTTGTCATAGGCCAATTCAAAATGTGATCTTTGATTGGTCTCATTTTGGAGTGATAATACCAAATTCCCTCAATGATTCTCTTAAAAAACAACTTGATGAAAAAGATAAGAATATTGATCTTTTGAACCATCAAGTTTCTTCCATCGAGGTTGAGATGCAAGCCACAAAAGATAATTTGAAAGCTTCAATGGGAGAAGTAGAGAAACTTAAAGAACAAGTTTTAACATGCAAAAAGGAGCAAAATGAGTTAGGTGCCAAAATTCAAGAGGCATATGAACGAGTTGCTTTGGTCGATTTTGAGTTAGAACTCTACAAGATTGAGTTGGATTCGTATAAGAAAGGTGAAGAGGAGTTCTTGGATGAAATTTGTAGTTATAAAGAGAAAACTCAAAGGTTAGAATTAGACTTACAGAAAACACAAGCTCAACTTTCTTCTGTTAATTCTGAATTACAATCTACTAAAATCGAGCTAGAAATTTCAACGAAAAGCATAAAAGAACTAGGGATTCAACTTTCCTTGTGTAAGAAGGAAAATCAAGAATTAGAAAGAAAACTAAAGGGGGTAGAAGAAGAAAATTCTTTAATTAGTCTCGAGTTAAGGTCAACTAAGAATGAACTAGAGTTGTCAAACAAAAATGTAAAGGATCTTGAGGTTATACTAGCCTCGTGTAAAAAAGAAGATAAGGAATTAGAATTGCAAAAGATACAAAATCAATTATTCTTAGCTAATAAAAAATTAGAATTTACTAAGACAATGCTAGAATCTTCAAAAATAGAGATTAAGGAGCTTAAAAATCAATGTTATAATCATAAAATAGAACAACAATTTATGGATGTAGAACTTCTTAAGGTACATGATCATCTTAATATGATTGATAATGAGGTGATGCTAAATAATCAAAAGTTGGACCAACTACTAGCTTCTAATCTATGGATGGATGTTAATGGTTATCACCATCCTCAAGCAACCAACCTACAATGTCGTTCGGAGTTGGCTATGAACTCTTCATCAATACAAGGTACGTAACGTTGATATATATTCAATTCCATTATCATTCGAAAAACTACATACGTTATTACCTTATGCTCTCGCAATCAACTCATCATACAATTCGTGTTTATTCACTAAATAACATACAAGTTTAATATGTTGTAGATGTTCAAGAAGATCAATTGTCAATTGACATTAGTGAAGTTACAATTCAAGGAGATAGATAATTATTTTAATTTGCAGGTGAAGATTGCGATGATGAGCAACTCGCGTACAACTCTAATACACTCAAACCATGGACCATTTCACAAAAAATTATTGATTTGTAGTGCTATAAGGCTTAAATTTGACCTTTGAATGAAATAATTCTGTTATAAAATTTCATCTTCATGTGTAAATTATTTTAACATGCATGATGAATTTGTACTTGTTAATTAAGTATAAGTGTATGTAATTATGTTTGTTCATTCGTTGTTGAAATATGAAATTAATAAGTTTATGATTATACGTAATAAGTGGACAACTCCTCTAATTGCCACTTTTTATCAAACATATGATCAATAATGATTAATGTTATAGATATTGTACGTGTTTTAATCAACTAGTGTTCTTGTTTGATTTCTTTTAGATGTATAAGTTGCTCTCCACGTGAAGTTATTCCATTCTTTCACTATATTATTTCCTTACAATTTGCCTAGAGAATCCTTCATAAATCATGAGTGTAGCAGAGTTTTTTCAGTGCGGCAAGCCACATGGTGCGACAGGGGTTACTTGTATTATAGGGTTACTTGTATTATGAGGTTACTTGTATTATGAAGTTACTTGTATCGTGGGGTTACTTGTATCGTAGGGTTACTTGTATGAGTTACTTGTAGGTGTTACTTGTATTCTGAGTAACTCCTACAAGTAACTCTAAACTAAAACCCCATACCAAACCAGTAACACCTTACAAGTAACCCCAGAATACAAGTAACTCCTGACAAAACCAGTAACATCCTACAAGTAACCCCTAACCAAAACCAGTAACATCCTACAAATAACCCCTTACCAAAACCGGTAACACCCGTACAAGTAACCTCATGATACAAGTAATACCTACAAGTCACCCCTGACAAAACCAGTAACACCTTATAAGTAACCCTTGACCAAAACCAGTAATTAACAGCCATACAAGTAACCCCAGAATACAAGTAACAATTACAAGTAACCCCTGACAAAACCAGTAACATCCTACAAGTAACCCCTGCCGCACCATGTGGCCAGCCGCATACAAAAATTTGTATAAGTGTAGACATCCTTTAGAATTAGTGTCTTAACATTTTTTTTATAGAAAGATTTTACCTTTTTTATACCACTTTTTGTTATTTTTAAAAAGTTACAACTAAAATGAATTTTCAATATTTGTACTGTAATACTCCCAACTAATTATGAATTATTTTGTAATTTAATAATGTTAGATTCCAGATGTTCTTCTTTTCTTATTTTATGTGATTGATTTCATATGGAACTAACATTATAAAACGGAGGGAGTGATTTATTATATACAAAATATTGAGTGAGACAAGTCTCACATAACCATTAATGAGACAACCCTCACCTTCACATAAAACATCTAAATACATATTTCGTCACCCGATTCCCAACTTTCTCTCTCTAAACTCTCCCTTTCTCTCCCATCTCCCTCTTCTCTCGTAACCCTAAAATCAAAAAAATGGAGATGAGTATTATTAGTAGTAAGAGCTTTGATCATGCCAGCTCTTCAACCCTCAGAATCTCAAAAAATCTCTTCAATCTTTCAAGGATTGTATTGCATATTTCATTCACATTATTTTAGAAAATTTTGTACTTTATCACCCACGACCCAATTTCGGAATCCCCACCCATAAGAAAATTTATTTTAAAATACCACCTACATAGACACAAAAAAATAAAAAGTAAAAAAATTACCACCCAAACTGATAGATCTATTTTTTTTAAAAAAAAAAATTTATATACTACGGAGTACCAAATAAGTCAAATTGAGAAGCTCTTTGTGAGAAAGGGTATAAATATGGCAGTAGGAAATGGAAACCGTACTTTCTTTTGGCATCATCGTTGGAGGTATAATGAGCAGCATTGACATTGTAAGAAAGGGTATAAATATGGCAGTAGGAAATGGAAATCGTACTTTCATTTAGCATCATCGTTGGGCCACGGAAAAACCCTTGATTGAGTATGCTAATCGAGAGCCTCCCCTGCATATTCAATACATGATCGTAAGAGAAATGTGGGATGCAAACTTAGGGTGGAAAGTTGAGCTTTTTGTTGAGTATTTATCGGAACAAGTTCTGGGAAAGATAGCTTCTAATTTCATAATTGAAGATGATGAAGCGGTAGATGAAGTGTACTGGAATGGCTTGTCGAATGGAAAATTTACAATTAAATATGCTATTTCAATTATGCGGATGAAGAGGCTGCTAGTATTGAAGATGTTCGTGGTTGGAAAATTATTTGGAGTCTGCCAGTTCCTCGAAGAATTAAATTTTTCTTGTGGTTGGCTGCCCAAGACCGCTTGATGACAAATAGGAATAGGTTCATTAGAAACCTTACCCCTGATCCTAGATGTGGTATTTGTGGGGATGGAGAGGAATCAATGCTCCATATTCTAAAAGAGTGTCCTGCTGCAAAAATTATTTGGCATAAATTGGGATGTGCTAATCTGACACACTCGAATGATGTTTCAATCCTGGAATGGATCTTGGATAATACCTCGAGTGGTGATGAATTGCGTGGTCAAGAATGGCCGAGGGTCTTCTCAGTAACTTGTTGGTGGTTGTGGAAATGGGGGAATGCAAGATGTTTCCATGCAACCCCGAGTATTACAGTAGACCAAATCAGCTTTATTTTTGCTAGGATCGGCTTAATTAAGCAGGAAATCAATAGAGGAGAAGCTCTGTATCTTCAATCTAGTAAGCATAAAAGGGAGCAAATTTTTATTAGATGGACACAGCCTGACATTGGATGGATCAAACTCAATACGGATGGTGCATCCAAAGGAAATCCTGGGGCTGCAAGAGGCGGTGGTTTGATTCGAGGCTACAATGGAGAACTCTTCGAATGTTTTGCTATTAATTGCGGTGTTTGTTCTGTCACCAAAGCTGAACTAATGGCTGTGATGAGGGGCTTAATCGTAGCGTGGGAAGGGGGTCATCGCAAAGTGCATGTTTCCTTGGACTCGGAAGTTGTAACTCATATGTTGGTGGAAGAAACTCCACCCCACTCTCCTTATATTAACATGATCCGTAAGTGCAAGGCACTAATTTCTGGCAGGGAATGGGATGTTAAGGTATCACATTGCTTTAGAGAAGCCAATCGGGAGGCGAATTGGCTTGCTAATTTTGGTGTGAAGATATCCCAAAATCTTGTCATGTTTAAAGCGGTCCCGAAAGACCTTCGTGCTGTTTTATTGGAGGACTTGGGAGGAGTGGCTCGATCTGCCGAGGATGGTGTCGAGTGGGAGGGTGCAATGAAGCTGAACTTTGCCTTTCACCTTATTTGAATAATGTTGTAGTTTTATTTTCTATTTCTTTGTTTCCTTCTGTTTTGCTACTTGTTTCCTTTGTTTTGCTTTGGTTTGTTTGTTTTTTAGGGGCTTGCCCCTTTCCTTCACAAAAAAAAAAAAAAAAAGGAGAAGCTCTTTGTGAAACGAAGAGAGTACATTTTGTAAATTCCTCTATTTTCCAATACGTAATGCAACTTTTTTACTTTTTATACTATTTATTTACAATCACTGATCATAATGTTTTATCGTTATCCCTACCTTTTAAAAAGTTTGAAATAATTCATATGAATAGTATTTGGAAATTATACTCTCTAAACTTCATTTATTAATTTGTCCTCATTATTATTGTCTCTTGTTTTAACTCTTAAGAATAGCGTGTGAACAATTATGGACGTGTTCGGAAAAATATAGATGTTTAGGTAACTATATATTAGCTGCCAACAAGCGATTAGCTGTGAAGATAGATAATTTAAATTAGGTATGAGGGTTCGGTAAAGTAGCGGTTGACTAGCAGTTACATATAAGAAACAATATTTTATTACAAATTTGTGTATGTGGCTGGCCACACGGTGTGGCCAACCACAATTCTTATTATTTTTTTTAAAAAAAAAAAACAACTCTTCTCTCTCTTCTTTTCTTATCTTCTTCTCCAAACCATACATCACCAACAACCATATCTCTACTATACCCATTTTCTCTCTCCTCTTTTCTTAGCTTCTTCTTCAAGCCAAACCACACATCACCAACAACCATATCTCTACTCCACCCATTTTTTCTCTCCTCTTTGCCAAATTGTTGCAATTAAAGTCCGAAATCGTAGAAATTGGGTGTTAAATTGTCGTGAAAAATTGTGATTAATTATCCTTAAATCATCAACAACATTTGAAGTAGTGAAATTGATGAGAACCAAAGAAATGTGAGCTTGTTTTCTTCGTGGAATCTTAGATCGAACATTCTACGTCAAAAATTGTAGGGTGTTACTAGTTTGGTTATGGGTACTTGTAGGTGTTACTGGTTTGGTCAGGATTTACATGTAGGATGTTACTGGTTTGGTCAGGGGTTACTTGTAGGATGTTACTGGTTTGATGAGGGTGTTACTAGTTTGGTCAGGTTACTTGTAGGGTGTTACTGGTTTGGTTAGGGGTTACTTGTAGGGTGTTACTAGTTTTGCTCAAGAGTTACTTGTAGGGTGTTACTGGTTTGGTTAGGGATTACTGGTAGGGTGTTACTAGTTTTGCTCAAGGGTTACTTGTAGGGTGTTACTGGTTTGGTATGGGGCTTACAAGTAACCTTTGAATAAGTAACAAGTAACCCTTGATTAATTAATTCATACAAGTAACCTTTGAAGTAACTCATATAAGTAACCCCTGAATAAGTAACTCATTCAAGTAATCCTTGAATAAATAACTCATACAAGTAACCCTTGAATTAACCCCTGAAAAAAAAAATACAAGTAACCCCTGCAAAAAAAATACAACTAAATCTTGAAAAAAAAAATACAAGTAACCCTGAAAAAAAAAATACAAGTAACTCTTGAAAAAAAAAATATAAGTAACCCCTGAAAAAAAAAATACAAGTAACCCCTGAATAAGTAATCCATACAAGTAACCCCTGAAAAAAAAATACAAGTAACATCTGAAAAAAAAAATACAAGTAACCCCTGAATAAATAATCCATACAAGTAACCCCTGAAAAAAATACAAGTAACCCCTGAAAAAAAAATACAAGTAACCCCTGAAAAAAAAATACACAAGTCCTGAAAAAAAAATACAAGTAACCCCTGGAAAAAAAAACACAAGTAACC